GATCAAACTTATTGATTAAAAGGGGGTAGGTCAACTCTCTTACAAGTTGATCTTGCAAGTCCTATTGTTCGGATCTTGCAGTTGTTGAAGAAGCTTGACCTTCGAAGGAACAACAAAGCCAGCACGAGTGCAGTAGCAACATTGGTCTTGTGAAGATATACCGTGCAGAAATTCACACAAGTGTAACTGTTGGTTCATTTTTCAACAACCAACTACATAGTGGATTTTGAGGACGTAGAAGGATTACCCCACCTTCGAACCTCGTTAAAGTTTGCGTGTCTCTCTCTCTTATCTTTATTCTTACTTGAAATTCTATTAACTGTGAAAACTAACCTATCCATATTAATTACTGCTCACTCCACCCACCAAATTCCGCACACAATCTAAAGTTCACAAGGACTCTAGATTAACACTCATTTTCTCGTTTTCAAAAGAAACGAAAAAGATTTTAAACTTGTAACAAAGTCTATTCACCCCCCCCTATAGACTTTGTATTTCACCACTTTGGGACCACCAATTGGTATCAGAGCGATCTTCTCACTATCTACATTTAGATTAACGAGAACCGATCAAAATGGTGAACAATATGGATCACGGTTTGCCCAAGTTTTCTCTTCTAGGTTATGATGATTGGAAGATCATGATGGAAGCACACCTTTACGCTCTACATGATTGCATGTGGATGGTGCTTGAGGATGGACCCTTGAAAATCCAAATGAAGAATCCTGAGAGGAATCCAGCAAGTCCAGACGTAGTCCAGTACATTCCAAAGCCCAAGGAAAAATGGGATGATAGAGATTGCAAAAAGCACAATCTGGATAATGTCGCCAAAGCAGCCATCTTCAAGACACTTGACCCCATCACCTTCTCCAAAATTAAGCACCTCAAGACTGCCATGGAGATATGGCAAGGTCTTGGGAAGCTATGTGAGGGTTCAGAGGACTTGAGAAAGCAGAAGATAGAAGTCCTGCTTGAGAAGTTCAAAGGCTTCAAAATGCTTCCCGGAGAATCATTTGATATGC